AAAAACGAAAAGAAGTTTTTTTATTAAGAAAATAAGACATCTTGCAATTGTTAGACCTCTTTCAGGCATTTCTGCCTTTTTTCCAATTTCTTAAGGATTTACAGATTTAGTTGTAATATATTTTGACATATCGGACATTGATACGGCGTATAGGTATTCTAACTAAATCTCACTAATTAGATCATGCGATGCCTTACTACTCATGGACAATGTTATATGGTAGGTCGTGATAGTGATAGGTAGTAATGTCATGATAACATTGTTATTGATTGACAGTTTGTATTATTATTTAATTAAAATGGGTTACACAGAAGTAGAAAATTGAAATATTATTAGGAATTAAAATAGAGTATGGAATGGAGAATAACTTATACTATTTCAATTCCTAAAATATTTCAATTTGCTACTTTTGTGTAGTTAACCCATTTTAATTAAATAATAATACAAACAATAACAATTTTGTCATAACATTACCTGTCATTGGCACAGCCTACTATATAACACTGCCCATGAGTAAATGGACCCCTCACGGCCTAATCAATGAGATTTAGTTAAAATACCTAAACACATTTTGGACTATATCAATGTCCGATATGTCAAAATATATTGGAACTAAATCTAAATCCTTATGTAATTGGAAAAAAGAAAAAATGCCTGAAAGAGGTCTAACAATTACAAGATATCTTATTTTCTTATTAAAAAACCTTCTTTTCGTTTTCTAATATAATCTCGCTTATTTTTAGAGACAGACCCAACAAACCCTATACAGGGTCGGAAAGTCCCCATGGTTCATTGGCCGTTACGTGAGAGCGATAAAGTAAGTCATAGAAATCTGTGCGATAGAGAAAGATGGCTATAATGAAGGCGTCTAATAGTCACCGCCCATTTCGCCCTTCCACAAATAAGAAGTGGATCTTATTTGTGAAAGGGCGAAATGGGCAGTGACTATTAAACGCTTTCATTATAGCCATCTTTCTCTATTGTATGGATTTCCATGACTTTCTTCATCGCTCTCACGTAACGGCTGATGAACCATGGGGATTTTCCAACCCTGTATGACTATGCTCGACAGGGAATGTTCTATCCAAATATGTAAAAATATACAGGGTGTTCCATTTAAATTAACAAAGTTAGCATCTGCGGTCATTTTGATTGGATTTTCTTTGTTTTTCCATCATTTTCGAAAATTTCATAAAAAATCGTGCAATTTTTGTATTTCATATTTTTTTATCTCTTAAAACAAAAAAATTAATGGGGGGGGCCAAAATATAGTTAATCATCCTGTACAGACACTTTTGTTTTTGTGTGCCGATTTGTTACTCTTGATTTTTGGATTTTTGATTTATGGCACCATCTATGGGTTAGCCCTGGGACATGTCGACTAATGTGTTAATTTCACCATATTGAATATTGACATCAATTTTAATAAATAATCATTACCTTAGTTTAAATTATTTTAGTAATACGGGAACTGTTTGTCATTCTTAACAATTATTCTGGTTTATTTAGAATTATTTTATATTTTTTCTCAATAGTTCATACCACATAATCTTTTCTATTTTCTGTGGGTAATAGATATGTGATATATTTTTTACTTAGGTAAAAATCAGTTGAAGACGGCCCTTCTCTTGGATGCTGAAAGTGGATCACAAACTCTTCAAAGTATTGCAAATCAATCTGCCATTTTGAGAGGACAAATACAAAGTCCAGCACAAGTTGCCTCGGCAGTAGATTCTGTATCAACTGCAGATGTACAAAATGTAAGTGTTGTGTTTTAATTTTTGCAAATCAGTGACAACGTAATTGCACATTTTTGGATCTAGTTATCTGATCTCTAGTGTTAAAGAGAAATTATTCTTGACTTTTATCTTGCAGAAATTATGTCAGATAGTTTAAAATTTTAGGAATTTCATACTTTAACTGTGTCAGGGGATTGGAAAGAGATATTTTGCTTTTATAAAAGCTAACTGGTAGTCTCGATGACGCTAATTAAGACTCCATGTAGATTTTTACCAAGCTGGAGCTGGAGTCAAAAGAAACTGGAATAGGAATTTTGAGATGTTGTTTATCCGCATTAAATTTTAAGCAAATTATGTTCTGTAAATTAATTTTGATAATTCCGTAATTTTTAAGATGATGAAGGCAAAATTATTTGAAAGAACATCACAGAACACACATAGGAAAGGGGGGGGGTACAGTGAAATGGACTGAAAATGTAGTGTATTGTACTTCATGACATCCTGAGCCCCGTGGGCTCAACGTCTGAAAATAGCCAGTTTTAGGGATATAAACGCTCAAAGGTCAGGAATATCGGCATCCACAAATGTCATAGTAGAATCATATAGCATAAGGAGTTGTTTAATGTTGCTATTCCAATGTATTTGTACATATGAACACACTCTGACTCACTTAAACCCTCGTATGTACTGTATCCTCGCCAACCCCTATCCCCCACCCCCCCCTTGCCCTCTACGCGCGCACATGATACATTCGCGCATGTAAGAGAGTGAGAGTGTGTTCATAGGTCCGAATATATTAGAACAACAGCGTTACAACTCCTTACGTCATATGATACTCTCAAATATGACATTAGTGGATACCGATAGTCCTGAACTTTGACCCTTTATATTTCTGTCCAGTTTCCGACATTGGGCTCATGAAGACTTTTGATCAGGATGTCATGTACAACATACTACATTTTCAGTCCATTTGAAAAAGAAGTTTGAGGGATTCAGGTTTGGTGATTTTGGAGGCCGTGGTGTGGGTCGACCTCTTTCATTCCACCCCTCAAGGATTATTTTTTATTTAGGAAAGTTCTCACTTGTATTCCATAGTGTGCAGACAGTTTGTTTTTTTTTACTATTATCCGTTTTTTATAAAAGTACATGCCTCATTTTTGACACAAAATGAAAATACAATAGGCGCTCGCTAATCGGACGTTCAATAGTTCGATATTTCCATTAGTCGGATATTTTGAATGCTTTTCGTGTGGGAATAGTTGTACGGTTTTGATGGGTGACCATTGCACTCCACCCCACAATAGATAAGTTTTTTCAATTACAGTAAAATTAAAACGTGAGAACAGTACATACAAATAATACATATTATTATTTTACTTAATTTTAAAAGAATAGTTTTTCAATAAACTTTAGATTAAACTCTATAGCCTAATCAAATTGTGTGTCTTTAAATGCCAGACTCTGATATTTTGGATTACTTCCAATAGTCGGACACTTCCAGTAATCGGACAACTTAATGGTCTAAGACATGTCCGATTAGCGAACGCCTACTGTATGTGATTGTTGTTACGTAAAGTCGTTGTATACAGGGTGTCCGCAAATTTCACGGACAACGTTTGGCTGCATACTCACGACGATAAATAAATACGATCTACGAAAAAAGTTAAATAAAAACATTTTGGTTTTTGAGCTACAGGCCTTCAAAGTTGTCAAAAATAAAATTAATTTAATTAATAACTTCATAACCCTTTTACCGATCGTATTAAAATTTGGCACATTTATTTGAAGTATTATTGTGTATTATTTCTTAGACCAAATCTGGGTGATAGTTTTCTCCGGTTACCTCTCCCTTTTAAAGGTCAAAACTTTTACAGTGGTCGTACTTTTTTTAAATGGACAGCAACATTGAAAATGTCGTTTTATTTAAAAAGAATATGGTTACTTGAGAAAATCGTCTACAGGAAAATGGCATTATTTGTAGGTCTGTGCGTTTAGGTTTGCGTAGCATTATCACGGATTTAAAACTTTAAGTTCAGTAGGTGATGAAAACAAGATGTTGATTGCTGTGGCTATCAGGTAATGTCAACATTGTCGTGTTTCTTTAGTATTCTCATCACTTCACACATGCAAATTATAAAGTGTCAGCAGTGTATCAAGATAATTAAATGTATGTAAAACTAATGTTCACAAAATTTAAAAAAAGCAACTTCTTTGGCCACTTCATTTAACTCCTGTGCAAGAACTTGAAAATTTAGATCCCAATGCACGTTTACAATGTTTACGTTTTTGGTGGTTGGTGAATGGCTTCACAGAAGATATTAATTTGCTTCAAAAATTGTTTTGTACCGACGAATCTTGTTTTACAAGGAACGGAGTGTAAATTTTCATAATTTGCATGTGTGGTGTGATGAGAATTCTTAAGAAATAGGACAATAATGACATTACCTGATAGCCACAGCAATCAACATCTTGTTTTCATCGCCTACTGAAGTCAAACCAAAACGCACAAACCTGCAATTAATGCCATTTTTCTCAAGAATCGCTTTCTGTAGGCGATTTTCTCAAGTGACAATATTCCTTTTAATGTTGGTGCCCGTTTAAAAAAATATGACCACTGTAAAAGTTTTGACCGCTAAAAGGGAGAGGTAACCGGAGAAAACTATTACCCAGTATATCGATTTGACTAAAGCTTCAAGAAATAATACGCAGTAATAGTCTAGATAAATGTGCCAAATTTTAACGCGATCGGTAAAAGGGTTATTAACCCTTTCACTGCTGCAGACGTATATATTCACTAAAAATTTATAGGGCTCATACTGCTCCAGACGGATTAATTNTCGAGTTTATTTGGAAGTATGTAATTCATATCCATGACATTTAACGAACATTTTTTGGGATTCACGATTTTCATTTTTATTTGTATATTTTGCAATGTTTGCAATATTTTTGGGTAATGAGGCTCAACAGACTTTAGATTCAAATTCGACTCGACTAAATTTATGAGAACACTTGATCCAATTTAGAACTTTCTAAATTTTCTCTCATTATGATTTTTTGCAATTTTCAGTTATTTTTTTTGAATTCAGCGTATTAAAATACATAAGAAACACACTTGATCAAGGTCACAATCTTTTTTTTTTAATTTTTTTGTGATATTTGGCAATTTTTCTCTACTTCTGGTGATTTTTCGCTATTATTTTACAATTTATGCAAAACTTGGAGGGGGATGCAGCTTAATCAAGATCAGAACAAATTTTTTCGAATTTTTTTCCCTCACTAACGTGATTTTCGGCAATTTTTCACTATTTTTCGCCAATTACTCAAAATTTTTGGGGTGTTTGAGCTAAACAGACTTCAGATTCGGATTCAGCCCGTCAAAATACATAAATCCTATAGGGTCAAATCAAAGGTACAGGGTGATTCACTATATTTTGACCCCCCCATTTAACTTTTTTGTTTTAAGAGTTATAAAAAAATGTGAAATACAAAGAAAATGATAGTAGAAAAACAAATGAAGTTCAAACAAAATGGCTGCGGATGTTAACTTTGTTAATTTAAATGGAACACTCTGTATATTTTTACAGATTTGGGTAGAACGTTCCCTGTCGACGAGCATAGTCATATAGGGTTTGTTGGGTCCATCTAAGAATAAGCAAGATAATATTAAAGAACGAAAAGAAGGTTTTTTATTAAGAAAATAAGATCTCTTTCAGGCATTTGTGCTTTTTTTCCAATTATGAAAGGATTTACAGATTTAGTTGCAATATATTTTGACATATCGGACATTGATACGGTCCAAAATACGTATAGGTATTTTAAGGATGGAAACTGATTCTTCTCTGGTTGCCTAAATTATACCGAAAAATTGTAGAAAATAGCCTTTTTTTATTCCAATATATCTTTTTAAAGCAATGGAAGAAAGTAGTAAAATTTCATATTACATTTGGCAAAGTATAAATGAAGACAGTAAAGCAAAAATTAATTGGGATAGGTAAATAATTCGTGAGAAATTAATTTCTAAATATGAAGGTTTTTTGGACATTTACAAATAAACGATTATTTCTTCATAGTATTATAGAATCATGCAATTTTTTATATAGTTGTCTTTTAATAAATAAACTGATTATACTTTATTTCATAGTTTGTTCAACACTTTAATATTTAAAAAGTTATATTGGAATAAAATTATTAAAAAATATTCATTCATGAATAGCATTATATCGGACCTTTAATTCGCTTGATTTGTAATAGATGTCGCACTAGTAAAAATTTATTTATGAATGGACTCGGGTTATTTTTAACGAACAGCTGTTGTATGTGGTTAATTTGGTATAACCTGATTCTGAATTGGTAGTCATGGTTTCTGTTAATTGATACGTAAATATTTAAAGAATGTCATGATCATTTTAGATATATTATTGTATAAAAGTATATAAGTAACAGTGCAAGTCCATACTATTATATAATTTTAGAAAATATGAAATATAAACATTTATTTAAAACTATAATTTATAATTAATATACCTATATTAGTATCTACGGTTAGTGGATAAGAGGGAAAACATTTTTATTTCCAATTCTACTAGAAAAAGTAGGTAATTCGTGACAAAAAATATTTTGTTTTTTAATTGAATATGGTTGTCATGAAACACTGTAATTTATATATATACAGGGTGATCAGAAATTTAACAAAATTAATAACGTTGAAAAATAAACTGCTTTTGTTTTTGATAATATAAAAAAATGTTAATAAGAAAAGTTGTTCATAACGGAAAGTTATGTTATAATTACGATTTGNATTTTTATGGAAAGAGGTACTGGTAATAATACCAAGATTGTTCATGTTTCTTTCAGTTTCTATTTAGTACATATACTGTATTTTATTTAAAATAAAATCGTAAAATTTATCGTAAATCGTAATTTAACACAACATAATGTAAAACTATAAGTGGTCTAACTGCTCCAGACGTATGTATTTGCACGCGATAAACTTTCGCACACGGCGCGGTAGCTACGTTCAGACGTATTGCGCAGCGAAAGGGTTAAATTAGTTTTATTTTTGACAACTTTGAAGGCTTGTAACTCAAAAACCAAAAATCTTTTATTGAACTTTTTTTTTATAGATCGTATTTTATTTATCAAACGTTGTCGGTGAAATTTACGGACATCCTGTATATTGACCCCATATAGCAGATTAACCGCTTTCGTATAATCAAATATTTTATCATGTTACAGGCTCTGAAGAAAGTAGGACAGAGATTAACCCTAGCTTCAATAGGAAATCTTAGCAACGTTCCTTACCTGGATGAATTAAAGTAAATAATTAAATATTTATTAGAACGGTCAATCTGCATTATTGTCTATTTCATTTCATATCATTTAAGTTTATTTGTACATTGATTGTAAAATAAAATTATACCATAGATTTAATTTAATTCATTTTTAATTCCACTTTAAAATATGAAAACCTAGAGATGAAAAATCACTACTTTAATAAGTTTTACTAGCATTTCATTTGTACAAGGTCGTTGCATAAAAATATAATTCTTCATGAAGTATTTATTACTTAAAAAAACAATTGAGCACAGCATAATAGCAATATAGATACTCGTTCAGAATTTTATTTATTTATTTATTGATACACTTGTACAGGTATAAAAACCTAACTACAGAACTAGGCTCCGTGTATAACATATTTCTTTGTCGTGAGTATACGACACTAAAACAGTTGGATCGTTCCTCAGTTGTCTGACCAACGACATACTGATGAGGACTTATAAGTCTGAAACCGGTCTGTGTCTGGTGGGTTAAACCGACGAACGATCCTAGCTGTTGTACTTGGTGTTGTGAGTATAATTCAATGCCGGTCGGGGCATATAGCCCGTGGAGTAGTTGTTTCTTGCAACACTGGCAATTCAATAACTACAGAACAGGAGAATAAACAGAAAAATTATGAAAGACCGGTGCCCACTCCAGAAAAAGATCAAAGATTATCATCTTGTCATATTGGTAAGTCGGTGATTGCGTGACTTTTTTTTTTTTTGAGGCCTCCGTAGAGTTTGCAGCCACCTGCAAAGTCATAAGGGTGAAAAATGATATTCAGTTTAACGTTCACAAGACCATGGAAGGAAGGGGAGGGGCAAACCCCACATGTAATACATAGTCTGAAGGTAGAATTCTCTGCTCTTTCCAAATTTGGGGTCTAAATTATGGTTTTTATTTAAAAAACCTAAGTTGACCTTGAAAATGAACTTCAAGGTCACAGACAAGTTCACAACAATATGTCGACGTTTTAGTACGAAAACATGCTATCTCAGATTGTGGTTGGAAAACATAATAGAATAATATGCAGTATGCTGCAACACATACATTACTCGAAGTTTTTTGAAATAACAAATTATAAAAAAAAATAGTGTATTATACCTTTTATATACCTTAATAGGTATATAAAAATGTTTGTTATTACTAAAAATTATTCAATTTTTTTCATACAAGTTTGCTTTAATATCAAAATTAATAGCATACTCTTGTCTGATTTATAGTTGCTACTCTTGATACACTTATTTTTCTTTTTCACAAAATCTGGGATGCACAATTTATTCTGAAAATAATTTTGTATGTTTAATGCAGACTAAGGAGACTGCAATAAAAAGAATTATATAGTGGACCAAGCTAGGCCCCAAACTTCAGGTCCGAATCGTTCTTACTGCACCTCAATAAAAACACAGTAGCTGCGTCCTTACATAGACTTTGGAAATGAAATGCAGGCATGCACCTACAAATAATATGCGCCCGTCGCATCAATATATGTATACATATCATTCAACTCATGATATCCGAGATATTTCAAATATTATACCTTTTAAATTTGAAGTAAAGAAATTATTAAAGTATTCTTTTTACAATGTAGAGGAATACCTCACTAGCGATCTCTTGGACTGGCGTTAGGGACCATTTTAAATTTGTTTTACATGTATTGTCGGTTTTTAAAACTATTTCTCATGTACTTATAGCTATCTATGTACTATTATTTATTTATTTTTATTTTTACTAACGGTTGTATTTAATTACTTGTTTTATATATTGTCTGTAGTTTCATTTACGCTTGACAATTTCTCATATTTACAGTAGGTAAATCTATAGAAAATAAAGATTATTATTATTATAACGTTATACATTATATTTATATTCTGGTTATTATGTTAACTCTATTAACAAAAGTAAGAGTAGTGACTATAAATCAGGTAAGAGTGCGCTATTAATTTTTATATCAAAGCAAACTTGTATGAAAAAAATTGAATAATTTTTTTAGTAATAACAAACATTTTTATATATTAAGGTAGACACTATTTTTTTTATAATTCGTTATTTAAAAAAATGTCGAGTAATGTACATGTTGCAGCATACTGCATATTATTCTATTTTTTTAATTAACAATTTTGTCGTTTATAATAGTAACAACAAAAGAAAATTAATTGAAAAATGTTGAATAAAATAAACAGTGTACCTGAACATAAACATTCTTTACTTTTTTAAAAATATATTATATGTTTATTATAAATGCGCGGTTTCAATCATTCAATGTGCCAACTTAAATTTCTAGTCACACTGAGATAGCATGTTTTTACCTAAAGATCTGAGTTATTATAGCATGTTTTCCAAGCTTAATTTGAGATAGCATGTTTTCCAACTGAAATTTGAGATAGCACGTTTTCCAAGCGAAATCTGAGATAGCATGTTTTTGTACTAAAGCGTCGATGTGCCCTTCAGAGACCAACAACTTTCATCTAAATAGAGACTGGTAATGAGTACCACATGGTACATTATTCAGAATGTTAATAGCTATCTTTTGTAAACTGAAAATTCTTTTGATACTGTCGAGTTTCCACGGAAAACTATACCATAAATCAAGTGACTATGAATTAGAGCAAAATAAACACCATCCTGAGCGCACTGGGCGAAATACAATACTTTAACCAAAGCAAAAAAAAATTTGAGATGAAATCTTTGAGCTCAAGTTGTAGACGTGCGACTTCCAGTTGAGGTGTGTCAAGACTCATTCCTAGAAACTTTCCCGGTGTCTAATCAGCTGCCTGTTTATTAACAGTAAAGCAAATTGCTTAATATAATTATTATTATTACTTAAGGTTGTACTGAAAATATGAACTTTATTATTTAACTATTTAAAGTTAAATCTGCGTGCAGTGCCCTCTTTGTTGAAGACATTCTTGCATGTATTAAATAAACTAAATAAAGAGTAACCACACTGTAGGTACATGTACTTTCGAATAATAAAACTTTATAAGAAATTATATACTTTATTTTTATACAAAAATACTATACAATGCCTTTTTGGATCTTATTAAGTAATATTTTTATTTACACTTACAATACCGGAATATGACCATTTTAATTTTCACAACTGTAACTGCTAATAAACTGTTAGCCTACCTATTATTTTGGATTATATCGAATCGTAATCAGATGATATAAACTACTCTTCAAAGAAAATTTAAGAAATGACAGGTATTATGGCATTAATGACATCATATAATGCCAATAGTTAATCATTACACTAACAAATATAATATTCATTAAAAATAATTGTAATTTATGCAATAAACTTTTATTTACATTTTTTTGGTATAAACTTATCAGGGTACCGTCATAGTGGAGCATAAAGGCTTCAGGATTAAGATACAGGTTTACTAGAGTTCAGAAAAGTTCTGAGATTTTTTTATAGAAAAGTGTAGGTTTTGAGGTCAGAAAACTTGTGTCACATATGCAACCACCAGCAACATACAGCATTTTGAGAAATAGAGATATACATATGTATATGATTTTTCACGTTTTTTGATCAAAAACTGACAATATCTCAATTAACATGCATTTTTTCGAAAAAAGTTTCAAATAAGTTGTTCAAAATTAAATTTCCTTAAAAAATTTCGCTTTTCCCAATAGTTTTACTGTATATTTTAAATGAAGTACAGATTATGTGAAAATGTTATGGAGCCAAAATAATGGTCAATTCATATTTAAATAACAAAAGTGGATTAGATAAAAGAAGTTGTGAAAAATTCTTGGATAATCTTAATATAGTTTTCCGAGGTTTGAATATTTTTGAGTTATAAACGTATCATTTTATACGTTTTCGAGGGTGTACATTACGAATTGATTATGCAATTTTTAATATTTTTCAGAAAAATATGTTTTCTTTGAAATTTTTTTGGGCAGTGATGAAGCAGTTTTACATAAGAAACCTAGATATGGAAGTACATAAAAAATTTAAAAAGTTGTTTTTTAATTATATACCTGAATAAATAAAAAATATATATTGATATTTTTTTTTATTATATCTTTGCGACTCCAGAAAGTTCTTTTCCTATTGTCATCAAACTTAAATTTTAAATTTTATTATATTACAAATGTTTATTGTTTAATATTCAAAGTAAAAATTGCAGTTCTGCAACTTTAGTAGTACGATGATATACCGGCATAATTGTTGCTGTGTCTATAGCCTCTATCTCAATCTAAATCCTCAATGATCCACTATGTTTAAGATTTTATTAAATATGTGTCCAATTTTTTACCATTATATTATTATTAATATTATATTATATAGAAATTAAATCATAACAATTTTATAAAAACATTAAAAAAACATTAAAAAAACCTTTGTAAGTAAATAAATATGCCTGAAGACATTTACATGTAGCTCTAAAATATTTTATGTGCCGAGTTTGGACAACATAAAATAACAAAGAATACATCTGGGACTACTTGGACAATAGGCTTTAAATTCCCAGAACATGTATAACAGGAATATCAAGAAACATAATCAATTCTATGCTGTAAAAACATTGATTTCATATAAAAATTAAAATGGAAGTGAAATCTCTTAATCAGACATCAACAGGACATAAAAATGTAGCAGTCTATGAATAAATAGTTATTTTTGTATCTAGAACCCAAAATGGTACTTTTGCATTCAAGAACGGAAAAAAAAATACAAAAGCATTTCACGTTCAACATGCAAACATTATTTTTTCGAAAATTACAATAAAATAAGACAATTGCGTTATATACAACAATTTAATTTATTTTTGAAATCATTTCAACCATGTTTGAATCAAGACGGTTTAGGCACGGTGACTATCACAACGATAGCAATCTAATAAACAATAAAAATTGTTGTTTGAAAAAGTAGTGTCAGAATTATATATTGTAATTCATATTCTGTGTTTAATTCAAAATGAGCTCGGAAAGTGAAGCATTTACCAGGGCAAGTATCGAAAGCGGCACAAAGTGCTGTTTCAAAATTAATGCCCAAAAAATCATCAAGACAGTATGAGATTGCCTACAACGAATTCAAAGGGTGGTGTAGTTTGAAGAAAATTCAAAAAGTGTCTGTAGCGTTATTTCTGGCATATTTTGAACATAAAATTAATAAACCTTCAACGTTATGGTCAGTATATTCCATATTAAAAAGTACACTGAATGCCAAAAAAATTTGTAAATATCTGAAAATTTCCAAAACTAATACCATATTTGAAAAGCAAATCAGTTGGATAGTCTGAAAAGTTCCAGAATTCTAATGAAAAAGGAAATTGAGAGATTTTTACAAGAAGCACCTAATATGATGAGCTACTAAAAATAACGATCGATGATATAGAAGACAAAGAATCAATTATTACTATAAAAATTCCCGATTCTAAAACTCATACTTCAAGATGTTTTGTGATTTCAAGTCTAGACCAAATGAAAATATACCGCAAATAATGTGCTTTACGTCCGGCACTTACTACAAGTCGAAAATTTTTGGTAAAGTATGTCAGGGAAAAATGTGTTAACCATTTGGTTGGCGTCAACAAAATAACGAATGTGACAAAAGAAATAGAAACTTTTCTCAACTTGCCTCATCTGGAAACTTATATAGAGCACTGCTTTAGACGTTCTCCCACCACTCTGTTAGCAGGGGCCGATATTACCATCATTAAACGACATGGGGGGGGTGACGTTCTAGTATATATAATAAAATTTCAATTGCGAATAAATTGTTACCATACAGCAGAAGTCTCATTGAACACCCAGAACTAAAAGCTACGATAACTGACAGCACTGAATTTGGCATAAATTTTGACTTACTGCAATATCGGCACTTTCAATTTACATGTAGTGCAAAATAAATTGTAATCGTCAAGTTATATTACTTAAAATGTATATTGTTTAATTAATAAAATCATAAATAAGTTTAGAAAAAATGACAAATTATTTTGCAGCTAGGTGACAAAAAAGACTCACTTTGTCAACTGAAAATGTAACGAAAATGTCAACCTTTGATGACAGTTTTCGAAAAATATATTTTTAAAAAAGGTAAAAAGTAAAATTTTCCAATAATTTCACTAACATAGAACAAATATCGCACACCATGTTAAAATGTAAGCAAATAAAGTAAAGAAGAAAGAAATCAAAAACAACTAGAGACTGAAATCGGGATTTTCCAGAAACTAATATTGCACCGTAACTGCCAAAATATGCAATTCTGGTATTATTGACAGACAGCAAAGATTCACCATAGAGATAGGCACTCATTTTAATGAGAATATTAACTACACTGCACTTCATTTTTGTATCCATTCAGAAAAAATATTATCTAATATTTAGATATTAGAAAATTAGAATCTGCTCAAAAGTGTCGCCCAAAGGAGTTTCGAAAGTATGTTCAGACCCATATTCAGACCCACAAAAAAAAAAGTTGAAAATACCAGAGACTAGACCCACTTATCCTTATGTATTTTGACGAGCTGAAACCGAATCCGGAGTCAAAATTGCTCCATCACCCTCCAGTTTTTTTAAATCGCGTAAAACTACCCCAAAAACACGGAAAATTTTCAAATTCTCGCTTGAGCACGGGTCCGAAGGTTGAGATAAACGTGAGAACCAGCACAATAAGACTACTTTATATGTATTTTGACGAGCTAAAACCGAATCCTCAGATACAATCCCTGTTTAGAAAATTCCAATTTACCATTAAATGTAGCATAAGTCATCTTTATTTAAGAAATTAAGGAAATGGAATGCCGGTACCAAGGACGATGGGATGTTAATATGATGGCAGATTTTTATTGGATGCTTAAAAGAGAATCCGAGCCAGATAGCTGAAAAAGAAAAAGGTATCCACTATACAGATCTTTTGAAGATAAAAGAGTACAAAAAAAAAAAAGAGAATGTTAAGATCCGAGACAATAACACGCGATTTTCCGTATTTTTGGGATAATTTTCGTGATTTAAAAAAAAACTGGAGGGTGATAAAGCAATTTTGGCTCCGGATTCGGTTTTAGCTCGTCAAAATACATATATAATATTCTTATTGTGCTGGTTCCCACGTTTGTCTCAACCTTCGGACCCGTGTTCAAGCGAGAATTTGATTTGAGATTTCCCGTGTTTTTGGGGTAGTTTTTCGAGATTTAAAAAAAACTGGAGGGTGATGGAGCAATTTTGGCTCCGGATTCGGTTTTAGCTCGTCAAAATACATATAAAGTGGTCTTATTGTGCTGGTTCTCACGTTTATCTCAACTTTCGGACCCGTGCTCAAGCAAGAATTTGAAGATTTTCCGTGTTTTTGGGGCAGTTTTTCGCGATTTAAAAAGAATTGGAGGGTGATGGAGCAATTTTGACTCCGGAATTGGTTTCAGCGCGTCAAAATACATAAGGATAGGTGTGTCTAACCTCCGGTATATTCAACTTTTTTTTTTTTGTGTGGGTCTGATTATTATTATTATGGAAATCTGAGGCCAGGAAAAACAGACTGTTCATAGGTGTCTTAAAATTTCAAAAGTTGCTTATACTAAAGAAAACAATGATGTAAAGCTGCAGGTCAATATTGATAATTGAAGGTAACATGAAATGGAAATTTTTTTATTAGGTGGCTTTACTTAATCCATAGCCATTTCGTAATCAACTTACAAACTTAAAAAAGCTGTCAGTGACAGATCTTACTCAAGAAAGTTGGTATTTTACGTTAAAAGATCGCTAATGTTTACTTCTTAAGTAAATAAGTTCAAGGCCTTCCTTAGAGAAAATAACGTAACGTAAGATGAAGTATTTTACTTATGGTATATATGTAATTATTTAGAAGTTACATGATATAAGTCCTAGTTTTTACTTTATGCAGTCATTAAATTACAAAAGTTTCATTTTTCCATTATAATTTTACGTTTCCAAGAAAAAAAAAATTCAAAAAGCCACCTCATCCACATCAAGGAAAACCCATTTAAAACGTGAGCACATGGCGCTGAATAAGTAAGAGTAAAATTTCCACTTGTGGTGCACTGTCCGGCTTGTTAGAAGTGGCATTAGGTGTCACAACAACATAAAAAAATTGAAATCATGCAACTAGTATACTTGTTTTCATCCACGGAAACTACCCATGAAGTATGTATTCATTCGCTTTCAGACACCCTTTTCGCGGCATATGACAAATGATATGTTCTCAAAATGAAATTGAAATAAATTTTAATTTCGAGATTTTATTTTTTTGTGCAGTTTCCTCGAAATTGAAAAATAAATTGATTTTAATTGACCACTTCAAGACTGTCAATTTCAATATTTTCACAGCACAGAGCTCACACATTACCATGTTAGGTGGGATAAATTAACAATTTTAGGCAAATCAGAGGGTAGCTCATTTTGGATGGCATTGAACGACCTAGAAACTTTCTTAATTTTTAAAGAAAATTTCTTGATTTTTTTAAAGAACGTATTTCTTTACAAAAATTATTTGACAAATTTTTGACAGAACACCCAAAACAGGTTAATTTTATTTGTGAAGGGGATACATTTCTGAGAAATTAGCAATTTTCAAAATAATCCCGGTGGAAACAATATACAGATATTTTAAAATATATTATTGCTAAATTACAGCTACAGCGATTATACTTATAAATAGTAATATAATAACAACCCAGTATATACACGTTTTGTCAGTATTACCCACTACATCAATATGGCGAGTTTCAGTTCTTACTCTCTCATTAGTCTGTTCCATTTGATTGCCTAAGCCATCCAATATTTCTAAAAATAAAAATGAGAAAAGTAAACAAACTGAAATAATTTAAATCTGAATGCCATTAGATATAGTTTCTTCTTTTAAATAAATATTGTTGCTTTAAAAAAATATAACAAAATATGAGATTTAATATCAGGGTTTTTGAAAAAGGTGCCATAAATTCAAGGCTAACAGAACATAAAAATAAGACAATTTTTTCTTAGGTACCATGAGCATATGTCTTTTGTTTTTGAGAGACAGGGTACGAAATATGATTTTTTTTTTATTATTTATTATATAAAAGCAGCTACTTTTTTAAGAGGGAACTGTCAGGATAAAACAGATCTTTTATGAATTTTTCTGTTTTTAAGGCAAAAAAGTTTATATTTTGTAATACCTACATTACTTCTTAATTAGTAACCGTTAATATATACATCGACGCTTTAGTACGAAAACATGCTATCTCAAATTAAGCTTGGAAAACATGCTAGCTCAGATCTTTAAGTAAAAACATGATATCCCAGTTTGACTAGAAATTTAAGTCGGCACATTGAATGATTGACCCCGTGCATTCATAATAAACTTATATATTTTTCAAAAATTAAGAAATATTTATGTTCAGGTACACTATTTTATTTTTTTTATTCAACATTTTTCAATTAATTTTGTTAAGTTACTGTTATAAATGACAAAATTGTTAATTAAAGAAATAGAATAATATGCAGTATGCTGCAACACGTAGATTACTCGACATTTTTTGAAATAACAATTTATACAAAAATAGTGTATACCTTAATATATAAAAATTATTACTAAATATTGATTAAATTAATAGAATTAATATAATAACCAGAATATAAATATAATGTATAAACTTGAATGATATCTATATATCGATGCGACGGGCGCATATGATATGCACGTGCACATTTCCGCNTTTCAATCCCTTAACTAGGCCCCCACCAAATTTCTCCTATTGGCCTCACAAGCATAAATCCGGCGCTTAACCAGAATATAAATATAATGTATAAACTTGAATGATATCTATATATCGATGCGACGGGCGCATATGATATGCAAGTGCACATTTCCGCAGTTCCCCATGCACACATGTTTATCATCAGCAGATCATAAAGTACCAGTAATAAAAGTGTCGCATACCTGCATTTCATTTCCAAAGTCTACGCAAGGACACGGCTACCGTGTTTTTATTAAGGTGCAGTAAGTTTGAGGCCTAACCTGGTCCACTATACAATTCTTTTTATTGCAGTCTCCTTAGGCATACAAAATTATTTTCAGAATAAATTGTGCATCCCAGATTTTGTGAAAAAGGAAAATAAGTGTATCAAGAGTAGCGATTATAAATCAGATAAGAGTACACTATTAATTTTGATATCAAAGCAAACTTGTATGAAAAATATCAAATAATTTTTAGTAATAACAAACATTTTTATATATGAAGGCACTATTTTTTGTATAATTTGTTGTTTCAAAAAACGTCGAGTAATGTACGTGTTGCAGCATACTGCATATTAATCTATTTTTTTAATTAACAATTTTGTCATTCATAACAGTAAATTAACATAATTAATTGAAGTGTTGAATAAAAAAAATAAAATAAACAATGTACCTGAACATAAATATTCCTTACTTTTTGAAAAATATATTATACAAGTACATATATTATAAATGCACGGTTTCAATCATTCAATGTGACAATTAAATTTCTAGTCAACCTGAGACAGCATGTTTTTACTTAAAGAGCTGAGTTAGCATATTTTCCAAGCTTAATTTGAGATAGCATGTTTTCCAAACGAAATTTGAGATAGCATGTTTTCGTACTAAAGCGTCGACATACATTCTGTCAAAAAAGCATTCGGAATATGTCAGTAAAACATAATACATTCAATTAATCATCAAAATTTATTTTGTCTCCTTCAAAATGGGTTCCGTTTGAAGCAATACACTTTTTCTAACAAACAATCCAGTCAACAAAGTACTTTAAACGCACTTCAACTCCTTCAACAATGTTTATTTTGTGGCTTCTATTGATTCGAAACATGTTCCACAAAGTGGTGATTTGAGGTTGGGAAAGAGAAAAAAGTCAGCAGGGGCTGCTCGATGATATTCGTTGGGTTTTTGGTCAAAAAAGTTATTCACAATTATCGTTTTGTGTGATGGTGCATTATCATCGTGCAAAATCCAAGAATTGTCCTTCCATAACTCTGGTCCTTTGTGACGGATACTCTCTCTCAAATGTCTCATAATGCCCGGACTGTCTCCATCCGGAAAGAATTTTGGGTGGATGATAGTCAAAGAAAACAGTCAAGATGGCACCATCCCGAAGCTTGTTGGCTCGTTTGCATGTGAAACTTGTAAACCCACATCTCGTCGTTATGATGCGTTGCATGAAAGTAGATTCCGAATTAGCCTGTTGCAACATGTCTTGAGCAACATCTTTACGATGTTCTTCTTGAAAAAATATTACCGTACGTCTTTCCAACATTTTCAACAATTCATCATGAGAAATACCATTGGTAGCAAACTCTTTGTTCAATAACATTATCCATAGTAAAAATCGTGGAATACACTTTAGGTGGACTAACAGAATTAACAGCTGTAAACAAATTACTGAACAGATCACGCTCAAACTTCACGTCAGAGTGGAGGCGGTACTGCCAACTTTCCATCAAAAAAGAAATTTAAATCTACTTTACACGGAATTTTTAAATAACAAATTCCGAATAATTTTTTTTTACAAAATGTATGAACTCACCATTATGGAAGTCAACTTCACTGGATATGGTATGTGCTATATTTTTTTGTCTCGATATTACGTCAGATAAGTTCTCCAGGCCCCTTTCTTGTTCTAAAATAAGCAAGCTTTAACACTACGATTTAACTTTTAAATTTTCTTTAACCTTCTAGCATTTTCTTTTGATTTGTTTTTAAATCCGTAACTGAGGAAAAAGTATTGTTAACTCGTTCATCGCCTGAACTAGCCCATTCTGAAGTACTCGGGCCAATGATCTGGTGCCTATCTTCATTTAACTTACTTATAACCTGTTCCTCAAAAATTTTTTTCATTTGAATGGCTTTAGAGTGTAATACTTCAATTTGTCTGGTGCGCCTTTCTGATTCCGCTAATGTTCTAATAAATATTAAGGAAAATTTCCTTTTTTTTTTTTATAAATCCTAAAATATTTTCCGCAATAAATAGGCTATGATTCTCAAAATTATGTATGAATGTATAAATTATATCAGAACTGGAATTGAAAAGAGAGAAAGCTTTTTTCCTTTTATGAAAATCGATAAATATGAACTGGTTCCATGGCAATCTTGACTATCGATTGTGGGGGATCAGCAAATAAACCAAAATATTGTATCAAAGTGTCATAACAATAGCATAGATAGGAAATAAATGTCATATTATCAAAGCAAATATATGTATTATATGAACATGTACAGGGTGTCCCAGAAATAATGCATTCTTTGAATTTGGCGCCATTTTCATTCCAAAGAGTCGGCAGCATTGTGCAGGATCAAATGTAGTCAACACGTTGCAGTTAGACAAAATGGAGTGCTATACGACGGATGAGTGAGTGAGGATTATGAAAATTCATTACAAGTACAGAGAGTGTGTAGCTGAGCCTGTGCACAAATTACGTGCAATTTTGGGTAGAAGAAACATCCCGAATGAAACAACTGTGAAAAGATTTGTTGCCAACTTTGAACAAACAGGTTTGGTTGCAGATAATAAAAAAACAGGCCGGCCTGCTTTTCTTTTGGGAGATCCTTTATAACTACAATGTGAAAAAGGAAAGGATTCCAATAAACGACAAATATACAGGGTGTTCCATTAAAAAGATATGTTTGGTTTATATTTTCCAAACACAACAGTAAATTGTTTTTTTATATATTTCTTTTATAACGCAACAAAATTTAATCCAACACTGGTCATTAAGATTTTATTGATAGAAAGATAAAAAAAGATAAGAGGAGTAGAAGGTTATGCGAAACTGTACAAAAAAATAGTTTTAAGTAAACCAACAAAGAAAAATAATGGTACATTTTATCCTTAGGACATTATGGCAGTTAAAAAAGTCATGAAAATGAATTATCATGATTTGATTTATTTTATTTTTTGGTGGTTCAAGTTTGAAACACTAAAATAATTAGGAAACTTAGTCAGGTCTCTTGTACCTTGTTATAAAGCTCACTCTATTCCCAACAATTTGGTTTTCCAATAAATTTTTGCAAAAGATACACAATTTCAAGTAAAACTTTGTGCAATTTTAAATTTGAGGATAATCAAGAATGAACAAAATATGGGTAGAAAATTTAATTTTCAATAACTAAACCGATACTTATTAACAACGAATGAAACTGAACATTAAAATTTTGTAAAAGTTTATGACTCATTTTTTTGCTGGCGAGGTAGTTTTTTTGAAATTAAAATAACTGATTTGGTGATCATTATCAGGAGCACAAAATATCATGCCATTTTGGGCTTAAAATAAAATCTCGCAGTTACATTACAAAATATTACATTACAATTCACTAATTCAAAGTATTCAAAGTAATGACTTATTTTTATACCTAATTTGTTATTTAAAATAATTACCTACCTACTAAATTGCTTCAAAACTAACCCATACAAGTTTTCATTTCAAACATTTTTTGAAATAAATTTACTCTACCATAATATTCCATATATTTTTGTGTTGTTATTACTTTTTCTGTGTAAAACTTTTAAAAATATTTTATACGTTCCCTATATGACGATAGTGAGTGTTGATCACTTTAAAAAGGACAGACATTTTCAAGAAATACAGACAAGAAAGTACAGAAAAAATGCAGATTAATTAATTTACGACAGAAAGTTATTGACCATTTCGCAACTCAGAAGAATCAGAGGATCGAATCGTTATATATAAATCATGTGGTACGTAAATTGTTTAAAATTACTTCTAGATCCATGAGCCACCATTGGTTTGTAATAAAACTAAGGAATACTATTATTTCCTAATATGGTTGAAAGGATACATATTTCCAGACTTCGTAATTACTTCTAGTTTTTGGTTCAGTTGACCCACTTCATTATTAAACTGTTTTAAACGAAGTCGTACATTAGCTGATATTTGAGAATATGTATTACTTGTTCTAGAATGTTGTTGTCTGAAGGTAAGTTGCTCCATAATATCTCGATACAATTTTTCACAAGATTCATATTCTGTCAACCTAAAATATTAAAAGATTGAATGTAATACTATTTACATACAGTAGTATTTATACCAAGGATCCTCCTCCAAAAACAATAAAGCCATTTTATTAGTTAAAAATAATCGAATTTATTAAAAAATAAAAACATATATTTCAGAATAAGTCCACATTATGTACATCTGTAAAACAAAAATCACAAAAACAAAGGGCATGTAGTGTTGCCAATGCCTACGAACCAGTTTCCACCAGATAGTTAACAAAATTCCTCTAGCATCCAATGAAAATTAAAAAAAAAATATCTAACTGCTCAGGATTGATATCGACACCCAAGGATATTATAAATATCCTTGATCGACAACATAGCGAAATAAATATATTTTACATTTATCTAGCTCGACACTGCTACTTGCATGGGATCAGGTTTGTATACTAATAAATTATTTTCAAATTTTTTGGCAGGGCAGCCAACTTACATCTGTCGTACGACAGTAAATGCACAGGTAATGCTATCGTAGCGCCATCTATCACCCATCTCTTTGCACTATCTTTGGATGCGTTCAATTTGAATATTATTATGAATTACGTTTGACCAACACCAATAGCCAATCACAGATTGCCAATAATTATTAGAGCTTTCGAACTCATGATCCTCATCCACAGTGCACACTGCACATTTCTCTAATCTTTAATCTTTGCAATGTACAAACCTTTTACAGTGCGTACGATATTTGTTCTGTTGTCCAGATAGAATTCCAAGAAGACTTTCACTTTTTTGGAATTAAACCGCATCCGGCATTCGACGCCCTAGGTAGAGACATTTGCAGAAAATTTCAAGGCACGTACCTGCCGCGGTAAATTGTTACGGTAAAGTCCCTATAACATAATTTTATTGGCTTTATTATTTTTTTAGAATTATGTATATCGCGCCATTATTCCATGGCTAGAAATTGGCCTCAATGGTTTGGGATCGAGGGGGATTATCCCTCTTTATCCTGCCTCATCTCGTGTAGGCCCGACTTACAATACCCAAACGCTACACAGACAATAAGACAAAACGCGGAGAAACGATTTGACGTAGCCGCTAGACATGACAATCCCCTCCTCAGGCAAGCCGTTGACTACGTACCCGACGTGCAGTGGTGCCAGATGAAAATTTCTATCAACAGTAGGAATGTAGCCAAAAAACAGGAGATTTCTTTTTTCAACAGGAGATTTTAATAAATATATTTTTTAATAGAGGAACACAAGTACATGCACAAAATATAGCGAAATATATAAATGTAGGAGTTCGTTTAAGGCCGGTGTCCCATGCATCCGAATTCCGACGATACGAAGGTCCGAAAGTGTTCCTATTGGTTAATATACATTCAAATTTTTACCGCTCATTTTCATCCGAAATTTTTAAAATTCATACGACGTCGGAAAAAGTAGAAATAATTTTAACTTTTATCCGAAATCGTATGTTTTTTAACCTCACTTTTTAAGTTTTTAACATACTATGATTGTTGTTTGATATATTTACAGTCAAATAAATGTTATATTATAATGTCGAATGTAGAAAATATAATACTACGTATATTTTCTACGATATATACCTATGGTTGTCATTTGAAAATGTTTCACCTTCATCTTGTAATAAATTCCATGGTTCTATACTTGATTTCTATGAGATTAATTTCGGATGCATGTGAATTATAATATTATCATTCGTACGAATTAAAATATTTTCGGATATCGTACATCGGATTTCGGATGCATGGGACACCGGCCTAAGACGCAGACGCTGATGCCGAAAATCGATGTCCGGACTTTTGGAAAAAATCCAGAGAGGTCTGAGGGGGAAGGTGTCCAACAGCGGAGGCGTTTTTGTAATTTCATTTTGGCGGACAGGACGAGAGCGCTCCGCCAAAAGTATGGAGATTCAAGGATAATTACAAAATCACCTGAACGTCGACCCGCACCGTCCGCAGTATATTATNCGTTTCTTGATCCTGGCTGTCTCTGAAACAGAAAAGGTTAGCGGGCAGGGGGGATGTCGTTGGGGTGGTCACCCAGGGTCAAAAAGTTGGTGTCTAGGTCTTTTGTGTTTGTCGGTCACGTCGGGTACGTAGTCAACGGCTTGCCTGAGGAGGAGATTGTCATGTCTAGCAGCTAAGTCAAACAAACCGTTTCTCCGCGTTTTGTCTTATTGTCTGCGTAGCGTTTGTGTATTGTATCCATATTTGAGAGATTGCCCACCATTTCCGGGACACCCTGTATATATATATATGTTTTGTGACGACCATGTTATGTGTTGGTAGTGTTTTTTGTTTTAGGAACTTTTTTATTCTGAATTACTAACTATACAAAATAAAAGAATTAACTGAATGACAGATTCTGTTTCTGTTGTATTAAGGAAATATACATTTGTAAGAATATAATATTTATATTTTCATTGTTATACTATTTATTCATAATCATTTTTTTGTTAGATTCAGAGAGAGCAACTTCAGATGCACAAGAACACAACATTGTCGGAATGTAAGTAATGATATCAAATAATCCATCTTCCTACAAACTGAGAGCTTCAAAAAGCTCAAGGGATATTCACGACTATGATTGTGGTAATTCAGACGATAATTACGAAACTAACGTGGAGGATGATATAAGTGATTCTACTCGAAGATATCCTTTTACTCGTGATGGCCGTTATAGTAAAGGAACTGGACGATCTCGTTCTACTGAATTTAGATCCAGTAGAATTGGTGATCGAAGAGGAGGATTTAGAGGCAGGGGCTCGAGTAGAAGAAATGATCGAGATTATTCTGACAGTTTTTATGCTGTAAGAAAATATGAAAGTACGAGAAACTCCGATTCAGGTATGTTATTAGAACTTCCAGTATTTATATTACAGTCACTCAGATAAACAACTGTTTATTGTCCAAGTACACTAATTGTAAAGTTTGTATAACTATTTTAAATTGTTTATATTATTAAAACTTATTTATCAAAATCTTGATGTTGCTTCTCATTGATTTAAATATGTGAAACAGAAATAATATTATCAGTTTTTTTAAATATTAAAAAAAAAATGGAAATATAATGGATAATATGAATGTGTTTAAATATAAAAGAAAGTTTTTGTATCTGTTTATACAGAAGAAATCGACGAATTGTGGAAGTATTTTAATTTGTATTTTGTTGAATGTCTTTCAGATGCAATGTGTTGAAAACTTTATTGTGCAATGTGTTGAAAATCTAAAAAATTTTTCCACAAGTAGGTATTGTAGATATACAAAATGAGTCCATTCCTATTCCTAGTAACCTATTTTTTAATTAATATGTGAAGGTAACTCAGATAAGGGGAAAGCATTTCATCTTTATGGAAACTATGTTGTAAAAATTTCGTGTTATGTTATAATCATGTTAAGCACTACCTTGAAATAGTAGAAATGAGGAAAATGTGTTTATTTGATATTTCATATAAGAGGAATTTCCTGTTTTTATCTGCCTAAACAATACCGTGAAAAGATATAAGCTTCTAAGACCACTGTATAATTTTTGTTTATGCCTGTGGGTTTCTTATGTGATGAAGACCAGTGATAACTTTATGGAATCATTATGATTTAGGCCTTTTTCATATGTTTTACATAACAGAAAAACATAACCTGACCTAATATAACATAACAAGTTATCGAGATTTGCTATGTTGTGGGGGGGTGTATAGGATAGACATTACCATTACACAAGCTTAGACAAAAATGTCTAGCTGTATCTAGATGTAAATTTAAAGTTATTTCTGGTCTACGTCACATAGGAAATGTATATGCAAGGAGCCTCAAATCAAAATCGACCCGTCTGTCTTTAGACTTTATTGTTTTGTCGAGATCAAATGTTGACACATTTCTGAATCTGTTTAAGCTTAAGCAATGAAATTTGGAATTGTACATTACCAGTGGTTTCAAAATAATTTCTAAATTCTACACACAGTCTGTTTCCACACTGTCCAATAGTTGACCAATTTGGTCAGATTAGGTGTAGAATCTAGTTTTCTGTAGCTTATTGTCTGTCAACTGTAGGCAATGTTGCCAACCTCTAGAACGCAAATTTCTTCATGACGATCTTTAAAATTCGTCACATTTCGTCACCCGCTGCAAATTTGAAATTTACTGCATGTTGTTTATATAAACGGATTATAAAACATAATAAAATGTACTAAAAAAACAAAATGCAGTATTTTTATTAATAAATTTGAAATAAAACAAAAATAAAACCGCTATAATCACTTTATTAAAAGAAATAAAATATGTAAACCTGAAACAAATAATAACAGTTTTAAATAGAACAAAAAATTAAAGCCACTTTTCCTATAGTTATATAAAAAAAGGAAGGATATTTAAGCTTAAAACTGATTAAAAATTGCTTTAGTAAAAACTGCACAAAAAAGTAATGTGTAACTCAATTAATTTAGATTAAATAACCGGCGTTTCTTCCATTTTATTTTTTTCATCCTCATCAAAATGATGATAAGGTAGTGGTTTCTCCATCTTCTCTTTTCTATATCAATAGCTGCATGTTTTTTTAACAAAGGCGCAAAAATGCCAGACACAGAACCAACTGATAATGTTGTTCTGCTTTCACTCAATCCCTCTCTAACATTAATAAAATACAATTCCTCAAAAATTTTGTCATTGCCAATGCAATTTCTTGGCATTTTTTATGAAATACAAATATTATAAATGAAAATTAATGTCCACTAATGTACTTCGAAAGAAAAATCGTCACAAGAATAAATTCTTCGTCAATTAGTCAATTTTTCCCCTTAAAAAATCATCACTTTGACGAAAAATCATCACAGTTGGCAACACTGACTGTAGGTCACCACACATTACACGGTTTTAAGTGTATAGTCCAAACCATAGGAATTAAACAAGTGAAATGTAGTCCCACACACTATTCATTCCATATTCAGTTAAATTATTGGAGAGACGGATAGCAGTAGTGGAGATTGTAGCTTTAAAAAATAAATAAAAAATCAAAGGAATATTAGCAAATGATCCTGATCTATTCAAAATGCTTTAAATTATTTCATCAACAAGTTAGAAATATTATCGAAGAGCCCTAAACCAAATGGTGGGGGACAAATATGCTGTGGAATTATGGTTTCAATAAATTATAACCTTCTAAACCTGCCCTTGAGGTGGGCAAAGGAATTTTCAATAATAACCCGAGCCTTGGACAACTTTTGATTGAAATGCTGTTGATCCGGTGTTAGATATCCATTATTTTTAAAGCCTACCAACATTCTTGTACTCAATTTATATGCAAGATCGCCTATCAAATGATTTTCATTTGGAAAATCTCCTGGTGGCCTTTCATTTACTCCTGACTTTAAGAACACACTATAATCATTCAAATAACCAGCTTCTCCAGCATATATATCGATAAATAACTTTTTGTGACCACAAATTCCTTGCAGTCCTAAAGAATGATATCTTTTGCGATTAACATACGAGTTTGGGAAATTTTTGAGTCGAGTAATTTTTTGATATGAGATCCATCTACCACACCAATTATTCCTAAGAAATAAATATGTACTTTTGTAAGATTTATCAAATTAATTCCAAAATAGAATTAAAATAAAAACATTTTCAACTTACCTGGGATTTCATGTTTCCTAAAAAATTAATCACTAATAGTTCTGCAGCGGTTAGTTGAAGGCCATATAATAATATATCTATCATTCATTACTGTAAATGCCCTACAAATTCTATATACTGCTGCCCATGCTGTTGACTTCGAAATTCCAAATCGAGCTTGTTGGTTAAATTGTTTGGCATTTGAATAGTGGCGGTGCGCCCGTGCTGTGGGGAGGGGTGATCTCGAGGAGGCTGGGGTGACTGCGCGGTCGCAGAGTTAGTAGTTGTACAGACTGTAAGAGAGACGCAATGTTAGAGTGTATACATGTCTGATAAAAAAAACATAACATTACTTGTTCTATGTAATAAAGTTATTGCTCTTTATGGTGTACTTAATCAATAAGAAAATAAATAAACATATGGTCCTTCGAGCCGGATGGGAAAAGCAACAAGTAAAAGAGAAAATAGAGAACTTTGGGAAGTTAGTGCGATTTAATTATTGTGCTGCACATTCAAAATAGTCAGACAAAGGCAGGACACAATCACAAGTCTGTGCAACATAACTCAATTAGGTGACAAACATTCGTTGGGACAGTAAAATTCAAGGCAAGGGCAATTTCATCAGAAAATAAAATATTGTGCAACAGCTTACACAAGACATATCTACGTTTCATTTCATTGAGACCACATTGGGACGAACGTGGTGAAACGAAAGACGTGAGAGGGAATCGACACGACTGGCTGCAACAGGGCAAAGGAGGCAAGGCATTCACACTATTGGCAGAGAGCANACCATAGGAATTAAACAAGTGAAATGTAGTCCCACACACTATTCATTCCATATTCAGTTAAATTATTGGAGAGACGGATAGCAGTAGTGGAGATTGTAGCTTTAAAAAATAAATAAAAAATCAAAGGAATATTAGCAAATGATCCTGATCTATTCAAAATACTTTAAATTATATCATCAACAAGTTAGAAATATTATAATTTTGAGTAAAATGTTTACTTTGTAAAATGCATCCTTCACGGCCTCTTATTTAGTCCACATATTGTATGTAGTTAAAACTACAGTGACTCTCTACAAGACAGTGGCGACAATAGAGTGTATCATTTTTAATTGGTCCACGTGATTTTAGCTGCCATGTTGCATCCAGTGTCAAATTCATCTGTGATGTGTCATGTGTCAGGAGCTTTCTTGGTGTTATTCAATATTTGTATTGTTTTATTTTAATTTTGGTGATTATTAGTGATACTATATTGGGTATTCTGTGCTAAGGGATAGTTATAATGTTTGCAGAAGCTTCTATAAGGACGACAACCGTGAATTTCTTTCAGGTTTTTTGGACACCATAACACAAAATATAACACCTACTTATGAGGAAGTTAAGGTTCCTGCTAATATAGAAGAACCAACATTTAATCTTAGTTTTAGTGAATTAAATGCTCTTTATAATGTGTGCGGATATATTGCTCAAAGTATTGTTAAAACATCAACAACTTGTAGAAACTGTGTACACGCTGTTAGTTCTAAAACGCCGATTTGTAAAACATTTTCAAAATTTAGCGTACTTAGGAGATTTAGAGAACATTCACTCTTTTTTGCAATGTAGCGGTATTTTGTTTCTTCTTGCAGATGGAAAGTGTTTTACAACATGTTTTGCGATTGTATCTTGACAGAACATAAATTTAAAAGAGTTTTTCTTAAAAGAAATGTCTGGTTTAAATTTAGATTTACCAAATTGTCATCAGATCAAAAAATAAGATTGTTAAAAGATTTATTATGTTCCGATTAAACATAGCTTCCAAAAAATGCCAAAAGGCATAAAAAAAAGCTTGCAAGTAAAAGTGTTGCTGGACATTTATTGTAACAAATACTATCATTAGTATTAAGTATTTATTTTTGTAATATAAACTCAATAAATTTCATTGTGTAATGTAGGTAAGCTTAATTTTACTTATCTAGAAAATAAAAACTAATAGTTGCTACTATTATATATTTATCCTCCCCTATTGCACAAGTAGATTCTACATTCATTCATTATTTAAAATCACTTTCCAAGGGAGTTATTTGCTAAAATCTGTGCGTAAAATTTATACTCTTAAAATACTCTTGTCCTTAATTTATTTTTTATAAAAGTAACTTTTAATTTGACATTGGATGCAACATGGCGGAGGGGCGGGGTTTAGTCGCTATTGTCGCCACTGTCTTGTATAGAGCCGCTGTAGTTAAAACATGC